GTAGACCGAGACAAATATAAATGATCAACAGATGAAAACATAATATAAACTAAAAGTATTTACAAATTCATCAAGTGGATATGAGTATGAAAAAAAAAAAAAAACATTATTTTCATGACTGCCTTTGTAGGTAACAAAAAAAAAGTTTGATAATATTTGCCATTGTAAACCAATAACAGGACCACAGGAAGTGCCATATTGATAGTGTAATTATAATAATTGAGATAGGTTTAAGTAGGCACCTTTACAGTGCCTCTCACTATGGTTTAGCTTCTGTAAAAAAAGAGGATGGAGAATTTATATTAGTCCTATTTCTTTACAGACAATTAACCAATTGATACTTTGTATTGCATTACGTTCCACTGCGATATATTTTTTGCAACATTTGTTTTTTCTCCATTTGTCTCATAAAAGAAGTTTAGGTAAAAAATTAGAATGATATAGCTGCTGAACACAAGTCATCAACCTGAGACCTGTGGTGATATTTTGTATGACTGGTTGTTTAACCTGCCGTCAAGTATAGGTATTGTTTTCTCCTTTTTTTGTATAAATAAAAGACAAAAATCTTTATATTTGTTCACTTTTTTATGGGAAGTCATCTGTCCTTCAGTCTTCTGTGGTTTTGTAAGGGAACTAGAAGAAGCCCATGAAAATCATAATAAAAAGGGCATTATCATGTAGGTATGTCTTTGTATGGAAGATATCATAGTAATACCCATACAGCTTATACCTATCTGAACTTGAAGCTTGGGACTCTACACTAAGTGATGTCACTAGATGCAATAATATCCCATTCTTACCAGAACTTAGTGTGTAGAATGCCATGTCACTACCAGTGCTGTTTCATTTTTTTTTTTCTTTTTGTCTTGTTATATGCACTTTATTATCCAGTGTCAGAGATCATTACCTGTGTGTGCATAAAATATATTTTATTTTACCTGATTTCATTTCATTCTTAAGTAACTGAAATATTTGCAAAACAAATTATTTATAAGCTCATTGTGATGTCACTAGATGCAATAATAATCACTCATGCCAGAACTAGTATGTAGGACATCATGTCATATTCCATGCTTTACACCTTATCATGCTTGACATTATACTCTTATTTGTTAAGTAGTTGAGTTTACAAACTGTGTGCTTATGTTTACACATGTATGTTTGTGTGTTGATGTTTTTATTGCATAAGGCAGTATTCTTCTTTTAAGCACACTACAAGTAATTTAATGTTGAAGTATCATATTTTCAAGTTAGAAAATTATTGCTTAATAAGTTATTTATGTTTATAATTTTACAAACATGCCTAACTTGATATGAAAATATATTAAACTTTCTATAAAGTAAATGGTTTATCATTAACACACTGATGCAGTCTGCGAAGTGACAAAGAAAAGGGTTATATATTCCATGCTGATTTTGATACTAGTAAACATACTGATATTAGAAATACAGCTCATTAACATGTGAATTGCAATAACATGGCAGATAATTATAGACACCAGGTGATGCCTCAATGCATCATGAATCTATGGCTCATTTATCAAGATGGGGTCTCTTCTACATCCCAAACAGTCATCCAGGCACAAAGCAGTTTACTAAATTATGCCTGTCCTTGTCCAGCTTTATCAGTTATTACTGGGTAAATATGTAACTATACAAAGACAATCTTGATAGTTTTCCTAAGGACACTGAAAGTGTAAGGAGCTCATAACCATCTTATGTTCAAGTAAATTTACTGGCCTACTCTACTATTATTATATTAACTACACTTACTCTCAACAAAAACTCCTGATTGTTTCAAATAATCATCACTTTAAAATATCAGTGGACAGCTTTGTCGACAGATACAAAATTTAGCTTTGATATGAACAGCCATACCATTAACTCTTTTAGTATGAAAAAGGGAAAAAAATGTATGAATATTTTAGTTATATATCTTTCATTGTGGTCATATGATACTTAAAATGAGTTGACAAATACTCCTTGAGGCCAGCCCTCAAGCCTTATGAGCCCCCCCACCCCTCCATGGACCCTTTGGATATAGTTTTCATTACTCACAGGTGAGAGAAGGGTGTAAAGACCAGGTAATGAAAGTTACAAGGTGGGCTGTTCAGTAATGGAAATTGTGGCATGAGTCCCTATATCCAGTTCTATAATTTTTTAATGCTAAGCTGGGACTCCTCCCATCATTTTCATATACTATAGATGAAAGTTGGGAATCTAAAGATCATATTGTATGGTTGTTTGTTCAAGATGATTATGGTTTAAGCCTCTTTTTTTGTAGAAAATATTATTTCAAAAAGATTATACTTGCTAGGTTTAATTTTTTGTAGAAAAATACATTAAAGCCTCTTTTTTAGAAAACATAGAAAACATTGTTTTGTGACACATCTATTTATACTTAATCTTAACTACTTCCAGAAATTCTGATTTTAATTACAGCCATTTAAATCAAGAGTTAATTTTTAAAAATAACAAGAGCAATAGTTTTTTTCTAATTCATCTGAAATCACATAATTTTGGTTATTTAAAGTATTCCTAGTTCCAGTATTACTCATATTAACAGCAAAGTGTGCACTCATGATTAAAACAGAAACACAACTTCTGATGAATGGGAATTCCACTGTTAAATGCATGGAATGGTAACAATTTTGGCTAAAATACATACTGAATATCCTTATCTATCCATTACTTTAATTCTCCTGGTTAGTGATTTCTTTGCTGCACTACTTTTAGACTTGTGCTGAATAGTAAGAACTATAGAGCCACACAGTAACTCAGTCAGGATATTTCCTAAACATAACATGGTCAAATCAGAGATGATTGTATACACAGCCCAAAGGCTTTCTG